AAAAAGTTAAAAAAGAATTTGTAACTCATTTCAAAAAGTGAAACTTTCATATATTCTGGATTCATTACATGTAAAGTAAAACATTTCAAACGTTTTTTTATTTTTTTATTTTGATGATTAGAGCTTACAGCTCATGAAAGTCAAAAATCCAGTATCTCAAAATATTAGAATATTTCCTAAGATCAATCAAAAAAAGGATTTACAATACAGAAGTTCAAGTTCTTTAAAGTATGTTCATTTATTCACTCAATCCTCAATACTATATATAAACATAAACCCCTTATTAACTTTTAGTGGATACATAATATTAAATAAAAATCAATATTAAATATAAGAAGTTCAATTTGTCCAGATTGTTTGCTGTGATTCTCTCTTCAGAATTAGTGTAATTTCAACTGAAATTTAGGGGCTGATTATGATTTTTTTTTTTTTAGTTAAAAAACTTGAAAAAACTTGAAATTATGCTGACTGATGACTTCAAAAGAAGTAATAATCTTGAAACTAAAGATTTATTCAGAATCATTAAAAATCAGTTTCTAGAAAATGAATGTGATTCTATCAGGTCATAAGATGAATAAACGACTAGCAAGAGAATACCTCAACAACCACCTGTGGCTCAAGTACGTAGAACACCCTGATACTAGACATCAACACTCCAAATAACACACTAGCATCATGGCGTTTTGCATTTGCAAGCACTACTCTCATTTTCTTCAGAAAACCATTTTTTCATGTAGTAGTGCTCCAGTGCCAGTCTGGATGATTACGGCAGCCTGATGCATTACATGTGACTCTGCAAACAAGAGATGGGCTCAGACAGAGCATTACATCAGCGCTCTGCAGAGGAGCCTCTGAGCATTGAGCTGCTCCCAACAGAGACAATACAAGACACAGAACAACGCCTCACTATTTCACACACACACACACACACACACACACACACACACACACACACACGACATGGGACACACATAAACACAGATGCAGACGTACATTACATTTCACACACACACACACACACACATTGACATGGGACACACTCACACACACCTAAACACAGATGCAGACGTACATTACACCACATTTTTCTTTCTAAAACAAATCCTGTTGTGTCCTCCCAACATTTGTCTTGCTCAGGGAGTGGACAACAATCTAACAAAATCCCCCAATGATGTAAATAATGTGGGCTTTTTTACATCCATAGACCCCAACTGTGTACAAAAGGCCCCTGGGGACGACTGCCATAACTCTAAATAAATGGGACCTATAAAGTCCCATCCATTTTCAGATGGTTATCAGACTGTTAGCACACAAAGCCCACTCATATCCCACTGGTTACTTTCATCAACAAACAGAAAAAAAATCTTAGTTCACAGCACAGCAAGAATGGATATGGAATCTGCAGCTGAAACTCAATACCATGATGTACAATCCCAAACTGTCGATATTTCACACCAAAGCCAGGGGTCTTGACTCACTTTGTGTCCTAAACAAGACACTGAAGACAAAAATATACAGAATAAGACTAGCAGGCCTTTCAAAGAATAAAAGGCATCCAGAGGTCACACATTGGACGCCCATGGGCATCCACACCTATAGTATACTATAACCCAGAGTAACAGGATCAGGTTGTGTAACTGCCCGAACACACTGTGCCATTTGAAGAGAGTTGGCTATCCTTGTGTCATACAGAAAGGCCAGGAGGACAAACAAAAAAACTGAAAGATGACATGTGTTTGCAGATATTTGAGAGACGTGCTGATTATGACAGCTAAAAAACAAGGACATTTTTCCTGGATTTAGCCATTAGGCCTAAAGACACTCGCAGCTCTTAACCTCTGAGCCAGTGCTAAAAATATATTTGGTACACTGTGCAAAGCACATCTGATTTAGTGATAAGAACGTTTCACCCATTTACTCTGAGGCAGAGAGAGAGATAGAGATTATGATTTGGTCTAAAACTGAGGATTAAATTGTCAGGCTGAAATATTTCAAATGTATTGTTTTTATTAATATTTGATATCACTCTAGCTTGATAAAAGATATTTCATAAGTTAAAAATAAAAAGTATTCGCCTCTGAATTACAGAAACAAAGGTCTGTAAAAACAACACATAAAACTACTTGCAACATACATAATTAAAAAATACAGTAAAAATAGTAATATTGGGAAATATTATTACAATTTTAAATTCCTGCGATGCAAAGCTCAATACTCATTACTCCAATCTTCAGTGTCACATGATCCTTCTGAATCATTCTAATATTCTGATCTGGTGCATAAGAAACATTTCTTATTATTATCTTTGTTGACAGTTTTGGATGCATAATATTTTTGTGGAAACGGTTGAACTTTTTTTCTTCACAATTCTTTGATGAATCCAAAGTTTAATCAGAGAACAGCATTTATTTTAACCACTTAAGCTCGGCGCGTTTTTTGGTATTTTCGCCTAAATTTAACATACTCAGATTTTTTTTTACATCATAAATGTCTTTCACTTTTAAATACATTTAATGTATCCTTGCTTAATAAAAGTATTAATTTCTTTTTTTATATATTAAAAAGGTATTATATGTAAATCTACATTGATTTCTTAAGGAGACACTTCTAGGTTATCATAAAACAGCACAGAATGCTCACTGCCACTCTTGCTGCAAGTTGATTGGCTGAGGGCTGACCATCCCTCGCAGCTGATTGGTCAGTTAGGCTGGTGAGAACAGGCACCTGATGCACACTGCTCTAGGGAGCATACTGTGTACCAGAACACCAAGACAGGGATTACAATGCAAAATAGACAACATCGTCAGCCACCTCCACCTCATAATAAACAGTAAGTTCTTATTCACTGATATCAAAGTTATGGCATCAAATGTAAATTTAAAGCATGTTTGAAGAGCTCCATCTTTATCTACAATACCTATATACACAGACAGCGTTAGAACACTCTGTCCTTAAAATGATCATTCACCCACGTCATTCCAAACCTCTATACATTTATTTCTTCTGCTAAACACAAAAGAAGATATTTTGAAAAATGTCATTGGGGCTCTATGTTGTTTTGGACTCCATAGTTCCTCAAAATATCTTCTGTGTTCCACATACAGAAAGTTTGGAATGACGGAAGATGAATAAACAATATTTTTTGCATTAAAGATCCCTTTAAGCCTGATGCACAAAAGCAAAATAGAGATAGCAGTACATGCTATAAAGTCCATATTAGACTGACCTACTAAAATCCCCAGAATATTAAATAAACAAAAAAGAGGACAACAACACCCGAGCACGTGCACCAGAGCAACAAACTCGCCCTCTCACATGCTAACTAATTCTGGATGCATCCCGCCAGCCCTGGCTGCGATCCCGCGTCTCTGAGCGCCAAGATACTCACTGCTGCTCCAGGACTTCAGCAGGGACTTGATGCTGATCTCAAAGAAACCCGAGTCCTGCTGGCTGGCCATATCTGCAAGTCGGTGAAGTCAGAGGATGCTGAGGTCCCGCATGTTTCCACCCCTGCCTGCAGTAGCGGCCGGAGCAGGCAGGTGGAATCGGCTGCGGTGGGAGAGTGATGCTAAACAGAGATGTTGCCGCCACAGACTGAGTCAGTACAGAGCGCCACAGATCCGCTAAGCTCTCTCCCCTCCTCTAAGTGTGTCCAACCCACCCTCCCCCACCTCTCTCTCGCTCTCTCTCTCTAGGCAGGTTCTCTTTAAATAACCCAGAGTCAGAGGCTGCAAGCAGTGCTGGGAGAGCAGGGAGAAATCCTCTTAGCCCCGCGTGGTTAATTATAACCTCTGTTTGCTTGCATCCCAAGTGAAAGAGACTCTCCTGACTGTCCTCCTCGGCTTGAGCATGTGAGAATATCCAGGAAATGGGCATCTGGTAGGTTAGTATCCTGATGTACAGGTAAAGATGAAGCCCCAGACAAGGTTTGTTTGGCTCCTATTGTGTATGTACCTGCACATGTTCCAAACGCTGGTACTTAGCAGTCACTAATACTATGGGATAAACTGGAATTCAAGAAGAAAATCCAAGGTGATTTATTTCCCAAATTGCATTACTATACGGAGGCCCCCAAAATATTGGACACTTAAATCACACTTAAAAATGCCTTAATGTCCTTGCATTAGATACAACATGAAAACCAAAATGAAATCAAATAGTATCTGCAAACAGATGATGACAGAGCTTCACGTCACTTTTGCAATTACTTTTAACAAACTGGTCAGTCAGTCAGGGTAGTCCACATTAACATTTTTTCAAAGAAATTAATACTTTTATTCAGCAATGGCACAATGAATAGCTCAAAATTGACAGTAAATGTTTTAATATTGTTCCAAAAAATATCAATTTCACATAAATGCTGTTCTTTTAAACTTTCTATTCATCAAGCAATCCTGGAAAAAAAAAAGTATCAGTTTACACAAAAATAATAATCCGTATTCGATCCGTATAATACCATTTTCAAGTGAAAATAATAAGAAATGTGTCATGAGCACCAAATAAACATCTCAGAATGATTTCTAAAGGATCATGTGACACTGAAGACTGGAGTAATGGCTGCGTAAAAAAAAAAAATCCGTTTTTTGCAACACAGGGATAAATTATACATTATATTAAAATAAAAAACGTTATTTTAAATGATAATAATTTTTCACAATTTTATTTTATGGTTTTTGTAATTGTATTATTGTAATTGTATTATAAATGCAGCCTTGGAGCGTAAGAGACATCTTCGGAAAAAATGGTAGGCAGCTTATCTCTTATTTTCTCATTTAAAACCCAACAAATGTGTTTTTGTGAAATGTTTTTCTTTCTTTCAAATTACATCCCACTTGGTTTGTTATTTTGTAATATAATGCAAAGATATTCACTTGCAAATATATAAACTTTTTTTTGCCTACTTTTTTGTGTGGCACCAATGACCTTCCGTGACTCTTTATTTTCACACTCACTGTTGGTTTTGGCTTGAACCAGTGCTAAAGTCCCCATTCATCACAAGTGTCAGTCAAGTATGAAAAAAGACAACTGCAAGGCGATTTTAACAGTAACATCAGCGCAAGCAGATTCTCACATGCTAGTTTCTTATTTTTTTTTGCTGAGGGTCTAAATAAGAACTTCTACAAAGTCCAAAGCTCACAAGAAAGCAGCAAAGGTCAGCACAGCACAAACCCAAGTCCAATCAATGCAGCTGTAAACAAGATCGCTTGTGACATTTCTAGTAAGCAAAAGTCTCCTTCACAAAGGTACTTTGTGCATAAAATGCATACAGTATCATATGGTGCTGCTGGTCTGGCTGGTGGACCAATATAGCCATTCTGTATAATTACTGGGACTGGTTAGATCCTTTCAGATTTTGCATTGAGCTTTTGGATGTAACACACCATTGCTGGCAAGCACTGCACGTCCTGAGTCACTCCATAATCCCATCATGCCCCTCTCTATCCCTCCGATGTCAAGAACTCGCCCTTAATTACATAATGCTCACACTCTATTTATCAGGCCAGTTTAAAGTTGTCCACTTGTGTTCTGGGGGAAAACAGTCTATTTATTCTTACTATTACTAATATGAATCCACTAAATTTAACAACAACAGTGGTGTCTGCTTTAATATTACTAATTAAAACAACTGTAAAGATAATAAGATACAGATTGTTTTTAACAGAAATATGTCAAGTGCTTAAATATTCATGTGCTACTAAACAGTTTTAGCACAGCTTTTCTATTTATATTTCCATATTCAAATATCCCAGACAGTAATGCATGTCAACAGTACCACATGTTTTCGTGTGACCCATTTACAACTAGAATTTGCCTACAGGGGACACTGGATTTTCTTCTTCCCTGTTTTTGTTTATCTTTCAAAAATTAAAACATTGCTACAGTGGTTATAGTGATAAAGATGACATATACATAACATAACATAACCCACACAGACCGGACCCGGTGACGATATGAGATTGGACTTGGCACAGCATGGGGCTCTCAGACAGATTATTACATAATGTCCTGGCTGAACTATCGCTCAACCTTTCAACCAGACCATTATCACCACACAGAGCAAATGGAGGTCTTGATGAGTGGAAATGTCCAAAAACTTCCTGACGTAAAAAGCTAAAGGGCACAAGCCATTACAACTCACAGCTGAAAGCACTGTATTGGAAAACGACTCAAGTCAATCACTCAAATAGAGCTCAAGTGAATCAAATCACTAAAATAAAATAAAATAAAATATTATGATTCTGGGACTTCTAAAATATTTCATAACCTTACAAACAATATAAATTTTCCCATCACAGGCATTCATTGGCAGGTCTTCTCTTTGAGATAGTGTAAGTATTTAGTCTTAAGCCATCTGTGGGAGTGAGAGCAGGTTGTTCTGCGGGTTGAGTCCCATTAAGAGCCTATTAAAAGCATTTTCAAGCTCTGATGAAGTGATGGAATGTGAAGCATGTCTCACTGATGCAGGCGTCACTGTGGATATCAGTACCAGCTCTGCACTCCTCTTTTTTTTCTATCTACTTTTCCTCCCTCCACCCTCTGGCCCCTCTTTCTCCCCTTACACTCTTACCTTATCCTCCTTTTCAGACTCTTTCAAGGCTAACACACACAGGGCTCAAGTAACATTTGCAGTGTCTCTCCTCGTCCTCAATTTAAGTTGCCTCTGTGTCTCCTGTAATTTACATTAAACTCTTTATTACATTAAACAAGCAGGATAGATACTGTGGGGTCCAAGAAGTCTGATACCACTAGGGAAAATGTTTTGATTTAATGACAGCAGATCTAATGAGCATCTTCTGGTTCAATGAAGAAAAACTTCTGATCATCTGCACAAAGTTCACATGATCATAATCACTTATCACATTTACCTAATGACTTAGAAACAGTGGAGAATGTTGAATTGTAATGTATATAATGTTTTTTGATCACCAAATCAGTATACTAGAATGATTTCGGCAGGATCATGTAACAATGAAGACTGGAGTAACAGCTGCTGAAAATTCAGCTTTACCATCACAGGAATAAATTACATTTTAAAATATATTCAAATGAAATACAGTTGTTTTAATTTATAATCCTATTTCACAATATTACTGTATTTTTGATCGGATAAATGCAGCTAAATGCAGACTTCTCTCAAAAACATAAAGAAAAATCTTACCTAGCAAATCAGCTCAGAATTCAGTTAAGAATTAGTGAATACTGTAAAAACACAAGGAGTTTTTTTTTTCACTTTGATCTGCATTTCCTCACATTTCAGCATTTCAGCACACCGCTATGGAAGTTCTCACTGCATGCGTTCTGTTGCGTTCTCATACACAACTCTGATAAACTGAAAGCAAACAGTCTATTTTAACAAACATGACCCCACATTCTTGAGGTAACCAATAAATATCTATAGACATTGAGGCATGTCACACATGGCTGACAGAAAGACTTATGAAGTTAGTCTTCTGACCACCCTAGCAAAGTGGCTTCTCAATTTTGCTCCAATCTCTAATTTCATAGCAGACAGTGACAACAAACAAACAAACAAACAAACAAAAAAACGTCTTGCGCCAGTCAGCACCTACATGTCAGAATGGTGGGCCTTTTCCTGGTCCGAATCTTCTTGAACTTCCCACGGAAGTCGCCGCTCAGCATCAGGTCTTCAGGTAAGCTGGCCATGCTCTCCAATTCAATCCCATCATTCTCCTGATGCTGCTCCTTGCAGCCAATCTCGCCATACGACATCTCCAGTTGGCGAGCCACCCGGGAGCTGTCAGGCTTTCCACAGCGGTAACATTCAACTTGCAATTTTCAGTTTGTCTGCTCTTCTTCTGCTTCTCTTTCTCTCTCTTTTCCTTCTGACAGAAGACTGAGTCTGGATCCCGGGCTGTTTCTTATACCAGTGTGTGCATGGGTGTGTGTGTGTGTGTGTGTGTGTGTGGTGTGGAGAGATGCAGCCAGATAGGAGCCCTGCTCTGCGCTGCAAGTGTGTTTTAACCCCCTCGCACTTGTCAAAGCAGTTCAGCCAGTTACAGTACAACGTATGAGAACAGGCAGGAGTAGGATTACCGTGCCGCCCAGTGACAAAATAGGAGAGGAAAAGGAAGATGGAGAAAAAGAACGAGAAAGAGACGTACAGTAGGAAATGCTGCAGTGGGCAGATCTCCGTCTTTGAGTAGTTATCTCAAACAAGCCGCTTCCGGCAGTCTGAGTCATTTAGTCCTCGTCCTGTGATAGTCTAGAGTGTGGGATTCCCCGAAGATAATACAGAGTTTTGCCTGTCTTGTGTTTTTGGAGTGGGATCCCCAAACTCCGCTGGGATGGAGGAATCACTTAGAATTAGAAGGCTCTGATGTGGATTGTCCTTATTCAGTCACTAAGAGAAAAGCTCAACACAGACTGTGTAATGGGAATTGTTGCATCATGGGTGTAAACCCTCAGAGACTTAATAAGAAATCCCTGTAAAAAAAATACACTCTTACCTTCTGAAGCTCATTTGTATTTAGAAATAGCACCAGAAACAGTCCACACCTACGTGAACGGATTTTTCCACTGTTACCCTACATGAGAAATACAAACCCACTTTGTGTGCACTTATAGGCGTTTTCTGTTTTGCCAGCTAGTACACTTAAGAATAGATATACTGTGTGCCACAACAAGAAAAATACAATTAGTGTTTTTCCCCT